GGCTGGACTCTTGCGGGTTCCTCTGAAGCTCCACCCTTCTCTTCCGGTTCTTCCACGCGGTCTCCCTCTTACTCGGCGCCATCTTGGCGTGGCGTCTCAGGATTCTTTTTCAACGCCGCTTTTTGACCGCTTGAACGGCCGTACGCAGCTGGGCTTTCAAACTTAAATTCTTTTGCATTAAATCAGTTATTGTACGGAAAGTTGCAGTTAGTACTCCCCACTTGTCGTACCGCAGGGCCACCCTCTCATCCGCAGCGCGTTCCTCCATCTCCAGATCTTCACGGAGCTGGGATGGAAGCTCGCGACCCCTTAATCTAGACACCAGCATAAAGGGGGCGAACCGGTCGATCGGCACTCCCCTCCCTACCGCCGGAGAGGCAGGTATGACATGGGTGTACACAACACGGGGGTTTCCTTCACCCTAAACCAGATGCCATTCGTGAAGGGTGGCATCCAGTTATGAGCGCCACACTCCAAGAGGGATGTGGACAACCTCGAGAGAGTTCAGAGGAGGCCACTCGTATGGTTAGGGGCCTCCAGGCAAAACCCTATGAGGAGAGATTGATCTCTCTGGATCTCTTCAGCCTCCACAAGAGAAGGCTGAAAAGTGATCTTGTGGCCACCTACAAATTCATTGGGGCAGGCAGTAAGGAATAGGAGATGCTCTGTTTACCAGGGCACCCCTTGGAGTAACTAGGAACAACGGTCACAAACTGAGGGAGAGCAGATTTAGGCTAGACATCAGGAAGAACTTCGGTACGGGTTGCCAGAATCTGGAATGGGCTTCCCAGGGAGGTGGTGCTCTCCCCTACCTTGGGAGTCTTCAAGAGGAGACCGGACATGCATCTGGCCAGGGTCATCTGACCCCAGCACTCTTCCCTAGCCAGGGAAGGGGTTGGACTGGATGATCTGCTAAGGTCCCTTCCAGCCCAAACATCTACGAATCTATGAATCTAAATTGGAGCAGTGTATTAAAAAACCCACCGCTTCAATTTAGAGCCCCCATTTCATCTACACATGAAAACAAATGCAAGCCCCAAGCCACAGAGGCACTTCTGAGCATGTTGCTCTTGTTGCTTGGTTTCTCACACAGGTCAGAGCTTTGACTCTGACAGCATCAGACACCACGGACGCCTCTCCCCAAAGAGGCTGCAAATACTCATCTTGAGGAGGCTGGGATTGTACCCATAGGAAATAGGGGGCTTGAATGTCTGGAGCATGGAGAAGCAGGACTAGCCTTTTAAACACCTAAGACATGATTTAGGAGCATGGGCGCACTCAGAGTCTCTGCGGTTTGGGTTGTTAATGTTGACTTGACATGCGCCAGATCAATGCTCAGGATCGCAATATCGCAGTTAGGCAGGAGGGCATGGTGCAAAATTATATACAAACAAAATATTCATGGGAAAATTATTGGTCCGCACACATATCCATACATAAGCATACACTCGGGCAGCTGCGTGTTGGTGCTTGGAGGTACTTGGGGTGCTTGGTGACTAGGAGAGAGAGAGGGATTCTGGGAGCAGAGCGGGGAGTGGAGCCGGGAGCGGCGTGAAGAGCCGGGAGGGGAGGGAAGCCGCAGGCTTAGGCGAGAGAGGACGGGATGGGGATCAGAGGCAGCAGAGAAACGGGTGTTGGAGGCGTCAGAGAAACGGGGGTGTTGGAGGTGGCAGAGAGAGAGAGAGAGAGACAGGACGAAGATCAGAGGGGCAGGGAGCAGAGATTGGAGCAGGGCCGGGACCTCAGTAAGACCAAACCCAATTCGGGGTTTCAAATAACAGTTTTATTAGACAGAAAAGGGGTAACACAATATTTGGATTGCAAATTATTGGTTTCTGCACACACACTAACACTCACACACTCACGCAATGGTAGCAGGGGAGAAACAGCTTAGTAGAGAGATTGAAGTCAAGGGGTATAGAAACAGAGCTCAGGTCCCTTGTTTGGAGGGAAGGTGCGGGTGATAGTTACCTATCCGGGCTGAGAGTCAATTGTCGATGGCCAGTCGGGGTCTTCTCCAGCAAGACGTTGTCCAGAGGAGGGGGCACCAGTAGGGCCTGTGGGTGGATAGGTGGCATGTTGTAGTGCTGGTCCGGATGGAGAGGGTGTCCCGAGGAGGTCACACTCTACCACCCCTTTCATAGGGGTGGGCTACCTGTGACTCCAATGGGGAGGACGTGCCCAGTCCTGCTCAGGTGAAGACGTGCAGTTCCAGGTGTCCTCATTGTCCGGTGGGATAAAATGGTGGAGTTGCTGGTTTCTATTCTGTTCTTTGTTTCCATATTACTGGTTTCTTGGAGGATCTTTATCTTCCAAATATTGGGTTTTGTCTCTGGTTCTGGGCATAGCTCTGTGGTTTCAGGGAGAGTCAATGCAAGGCCCTGGTAGGGTCATTAAGTTGATGGTCAGGTCATTCAGCGGGAGCTTTTTTTAGGCCTGCTACCATTATGTCTCAAGCACACTCATTCGATCTCATTCACCCAGGAACCAATTTACATGGGAGGGGTAGGTATGAGTCACAGTTACAACACAATTACAATAGGGTCTGCCCGGGCAGGGGACACAAAATGGAGACTTGACAAGGCAAGACAGAGACTTGACATTACTTTGGCTAACTTACAGACACAGGCCTAAATCATACACTATCAATATAAAACAGTAAAAATCAATACAAACATAATAGGAATACAATATAAACCAATAAAAATCAATACCAAAATAACAGGGCACTATTTACAATGATACACGAACAATATAAAAGGTGCTTGTTATAGTAATGGAATACAAGAGCTTATCCTATGTTTTAGCTTAACTATGACTTATCATAAATACTTATAAGGGATAGAGAGGGCAGAGAGAAAATCAGAAACAGTTGGGGAAGGGAATGCATTTTTAAATTAAAGAAAAAAGAAAAACTAGGGTTTTGCTACCCTAAGACCCTATCGCTTTTCTGAGCCAGCCAGTGAGAGGGGATGTTTTGGGGCATGTTAGCTCCTGGTGTAATGAGTGTTAATATTCACAGGAACTTGATGCACTGGTCAGATGCAGGGAGACATGTTGCAGGTCTGTGCACAGCAAGGCGATGTGGTTAAAGGACCCCCCTCCTCAGTAGCCACAACCCCGTGAGAGGTGCTCCTCCCCAGAAACAACCAGCCCTGAGCCCTTGCATGCAGCCCTGCACTTAGGCAGCAGCCCTTGGGCCAAAGAAGCAGGATACTCGTGGCCATCATGTTCCTCGCCAAGTCCCTGCTTGTCTCATCTCTAGGTAAACCTCCCCCATGGCTGTCAGCACTGTGCTCCTGGGATCGTGGATGAAGACATCCTCAGCAGGACACAGATTCCAGCACTGGGCTCTGGGCTGGATTTCAAAGGTTTTTTTTGTGGTCTTGGAGGTAGCTATAGAAGGGGTTGTTAGTGTGCTGCTTTAAGGCTGCCTGGAAAGCAGAAGAATCAGCAGCTAATGCCTTCTGGTCCCAAGACATGAAGGCACCTGTGTCAGCCCAAGACCGGATGGAAGCTGACAATTGCCCTGTTGTGTTTCCACAGTGTTGGGAGTCCAGTTACATCTGCACCAGCCTCAGCGGTTCCTGTTTGTGGAAGTCGGTGGGACAGCAGAGATCCCCTGTTCCTCCAGGGAAGATTTGGATGGGGGAGGAACTGTGCACTGGTATCTGAGAAGGGTGGGTGAGGCCCCCACACGCATGAAAGACTGTATAAATGATAAAAATGTGAGCAAATTTGCTTGCAAGCATCAGAGATACAGCACAACACTGGAAATCAGGGACATCCAAAGGAATGAGTCTGGCATTTATTACTGTGCACGTGCAGTCACTGGCTCTATGACATTTGGGAATGGAACCACGGTGATCATTGGAGGTAACGACCCATTGCCTCTTTAATTAGAATAGCTGTGTCTCATTGCTCACTTCCATTAGAAACCAACAAGAAACCTTAAGAACGTAGAAGAGTAAATTGCTGAAAAAAAGCTGTGTTTTTAGCCAAGTAAAATGTGTTCAGCGTTAGCTGCTGGGGGCAGAGAGAGAACGGGCTATGCAGTGTTTACTCACAGGGAAAACCTGGCAAGTGGTGCAGGGGAGTGCTGGGTCTCCGTGGGGCTGGTCTGTGCAGCCAGGCTGGGAATGTTTCTCCCTCCGAGCCCTGATGGCTGGTGAGAAGATTGTGAACTCCCAAAGGTACTAGTGCTGCCTTGAGAAGACTGCCCGGCTCTCTCCTGGCTAGGCTGGCTGTGCCTTGGACTGGTTCCTCTCTTTCAGCTTGGCAAGGAGTGGCACATGTCCTTATTCTCCAGCAGACTTTTATCTTGCTTAATCTCTTGGTGACAGACCCACAGCTGTGGCCAGGCTGCAGCTCAGCTCTGTCTGCCCTTAAGTTCTCAGTTTCTTTTCTGACCAGACAGCTTCACTGACAGCAGCTCCGTGCTGCTCCTGGGCCCTGTTGCAGGGGAGAATGGAGCCATGGACCCTGCACATCTGGCCTGTGTGATCCGGGGCGTCTCCAACCTCGTCTGGGTGTCCTGGCACGTTCCCGGAGAGGAGCGAGCCCAGGGGCTGCCGCGCTTGCTGAAAGCCAGTGATGGGTCCTTAACACTCATCCATGGCATCAGCATCCCCTGGGCCAGCTGGGCCAGTGGGGCGACCGTCACCTGTGAGGTCACATTCAACTCATCTGGCAGCAGTGTTACCAGACATGCCGTCTATTCTGCACGTGAGTGGTTCTACATTTTCAGCTAAGACATAGTGTTGGTCCAAATCCATAGCAATCACTGGTGTCTCTAATATGCATGACAGTGTCTGGACGACCATGTCATTTTTGCATGCAGGCAGATGTGCAGGGAATTTGGGGGAAGGTGGCGTTAAACAGTGCCAAGGCATGAGACAAGGCAGAGACCATCTTGGAGACCTCTGAGAAGAGTTAAATGATAATATTCAGGGAAGAGGGGACTTAGGAGCCCTTCAATGAATGAAAGGAGTGTGCTGGCTACTCCAAGGTCCGGAGGGGCTGTGGGGTGAGGGGAATGGTCCAGGGAGAGTTGTGGAGACAGATGGGCAGCAGGGCCTGGATACAAGAAATCCCCAGATCTCAGTTAGCAGCTTCCATCCAGAGGTCTCCCAGGGATTTACAAGGGTTGGTAGTGCTGGTACCACTTTGGGGCTGGGGAAAACTGAGGCACAGGCAGGGCAGTGACCTGCAGGTTAGTGGTGTCACCAGAGACAGAGCCCAGCTCTCTCTGGTCCTCTAACCACTGGACCCCGCTGCTGCAGAGCGGAGCAGGGCAAGAGCAGTGACATGAGGCTTTTGTCTCTCCCTTGTAGCTCCCTCCGCACCCTGCGTCATGCTCTCTGTCGTGGCAGTGGGCAGTGCCCTGCTGCTGGTCACGGTGCCCCTGAGTCTCATCTGGATCCACTGCCCTCCCCGATGGGGTAAGAAACAGTTTGTGGCCCCCAGACGCTCCCTGGGCATCACCAGTGGGCTCACCTGTGCGGGACAACCAGGCTGCAGCCGTCACAGGCCCCAAGGCTTGTCCTGTGCCTGGAGTTTGGCTCTGAGCTCTGCCCCCGGGGAGTGATGTAGACAGGCCCCCACCACAGATAGCCTGAGCCTGGGGTGTGTGGCTCATGCAGGGCATGAGGCTTTGCACTGAGGACTCATCCTTGTGTTCAGCCCTGTGTACATGGGGACACGGCAGTGGAAGAGGAGCTATGACTGCTGTCTCCATTTCAGGTTCCCGGCCCAGGGAAGCAGTACCTCGCATCTCCCAGGAAAATCAGGTACAGCCATTTAGAAACCCTTGCTGTCTGCCTCGGTGGGCCTGTCTGTGGGTCCATCAGCATATTTCTCGCTGACACTGAATTACTAACTGATGAAAGGGAAGCACAGTCTAAGGGCAAGCATTATCCTAGCTTGGTCACTTACAGACTGCAGGACTCTGGTTTAGTCATTTTACCTGCTTTGTCCCTGTTTGTAGAAGCGGGGCTAACAAGACCTCCTTCCTCCGGGTGCTGGGAATGTCAAATGGCAGCTTCAGACCCTCTTTGGGTCTTGGATGGACCCTGACCAGTGGCTGGCACATAAATAAGCAGGGTACTGGATTTCCTCACATAACAGGCCCCCAAATCTAATAGGCATCTTGTTTTTGAATGGTGTCTTGAAGAAATGTTTTCCCCAGATTTATGGCTGCAGCGAGCAGGGCAGAGCCTCCTCTTCATGGTTCACTAAAACCAGGGCTGCAGAGGAAGCCTGGTGTCCATGGGTGGACCTCTGATCTTAATCAGACTTAAAGTGATGTGAAATAGGAGCAGAGACAAGGTACCCTAGTACTCTAGCAGGCAGTAAATCTGCCCTCAAAGGCTGGGTCACTAGTGCAGTGACTTTGAAAGAGAAGAGATGGTGGTTAACCCCTGTGCAGTGAAGAGCAAGGGGCCGTGAACTCCTTCATTGGCCTGAAGAGTAACAGCAGAGCTACTGGGCAGCAGGGGGCTAGGCCAGGCGCTTTTATGTTGGGCAGAAGAATCAGCTTCCCCACTTAATATCTACACCTCAATTCTGGGCTGGTTTGGGGGAAAAAAGTGTGTATTGCATTCTAGAAAATACAGTGTTTGCAGAGTACTTCAAGGCATGGATGTAGAGGCTGTGAGGGCTTCACTGGACAAGGGAAAATATCTTGGTTCATCCAGGGGCAAGTGAAAGCCAGACTGGTTTATCTTAGTCCTGGTTCACTGAGGGTTAAGGACACCCAGGCAGCTTCCACTTACCGCTGCATGAGAGTGGACACATGTTGGGGGGGATACCACAGAGTATACTAATATATAGGAAAGCCCCCACCTCCTTTTAACCCACAGGAAATGTTCATGTTACCTGGCTTCAAGAGCCAGCACTGCATAGCGCTCTGGATCTGGCCCCCACTTTCTTGGAGTCAATGCAAGGGCTGCCCAGTGATTTCACTAACCCTTGATATGGAAAGCAGGAGCATAAGGGCCTGGGGGAGGCTTTCACTGGGGCTCAGGGAATCCCAACCCCCCTGCACAGGAGCCTTGTTCCTTTTCCAAAGCTATGAAATGTTCCCAGCAGGACGGACTCATATACACAGAGCTGGTATTTAAGCCGCTGACTCCCCACAAACCAAGATAGCACGAGGGAAGAACGTGACTCCCTGAACAGCCACATCCACGGGGTCCTTCATGCAGGGATGGTGGCCACTTCTCTGCTAATCAGCGTGAACCACACCAGCCGCTAAGAAGGCTCCACGGGGGACACACTCTCCCCTTGTGGGCGTTCAGACTGGGCAGGTCAGAGCTTGGCTGGGGGGACATCAGTTTCCGTTGTTGTAGTAAAGACTCCCCAGGAGAACCGGGTGGAACATTTCCCATCATGGGACATTTCAACAGAAACACAAATCTCACTTTTCCCCCCCTGAAAATCCCAACTGCAAACATCCCCTGCGGATAGACATCAGGTGGACTTTTGAGCTGTTCTTCAGTCAGAGACAAGAGACAATCCCCAGGGAGCTGGGCCTGTGTCCAGCCCACAATCGGACGGGAACCTGTGCTGCAGGATCTGTGCTGCGCTCCCACACGAGCTGGGAGGATGCTGCACTGTGCGTTTAGCACATGCACTCTGAATGCACTCATCCCACGGTCGTTTCCCTGCCATCATTACCCGCACTAATGAGATCCACCTACTCTGTGCTATGTTCCCCCATGCCTTGGCTTTGTGCACCAGCCTTGTTTTAGCAGCGTGCTGACCAAAAAATAAAACACCCAAAACTTTGTTGCCCAAATATACCATATTTTCCGTGTCAGTGGAGAAGGATCGATGGAAGATTTTTGGTAAGAAAAATCTAGATGTAATATTTACAATAAATGTTTCCTGTGGGGTGCAGTATGTCATAAGGCCAGAACGACCCAACATTATGATCCAGAGGTGGGGCTTTATGGCAGGGGCTTCAGCTTTGAGCTCCCTAGTTGTGGTGTGAGTGGCTGGGTGCCCTGTGCTGTGCTCTGAGCTACTAGAACGACCCACCCGAGGATTTAACCAGCTTTCCAGGTAGGGTTTGTAGCCCTGGATGACCTCCATGCACCAGACCTGCAGCCAACTCAAGCTCAGGTGTGCTTTGTGCTTCAGCTGCCTGGTGATCTATGGTTTCATCCCTGCCTCTGTCAGCAATGGGCAGCCTCAAAGTGAAGCATCTCTGGCCCTGATGCTCATCGGAGTCAAAGCCCCCTGATATCCACCAAGAAGGGCAACAAGGCCTGGAAGGAGGTGCAAGTGATTGAAGTCCCAGACCAAGCAAGAGAAGATCTGAATTCAATGCAAAATGATATCTAGAAATCACAGGGCAGGGTGATGTCCAGAGGCTGTGGCTGGTCCACGTGTCTGGCCCACAGATCATAAAGAGCATAGTCCTTCTCCATAGCCAGCCTGGTGCAGCTGCAATGGAGACCATTTAGATGTACCAGTGGCCAATACACGGCTGCTGGAAGTGACCCCTCAGATGTGTATGTGGGGATGTGACAGGGAAGGTGCTGTGCCTGCTGTCTCTCTTCATCGCAGCACTCGGGTCCAGGAGCGCAGCCCCTCTGGCCTCCTGGGAGGAGCATGTACAGCCCCACTGTGACCCATCACTGTCATCCTGGAGCTGTCCATCCCGGGCAGACCCCTTCAGTGCCTTACTGTATTTGGTAACCAAACAGGCTGATCCCCAGGGGGTGATTGGGTGAGAACTGTGCCTCAGTTTCTAGGCAGGAGGGTAGCCAGGAGTCTGACTGATGCCCTTGCATGTCACTTCCCTCCTCCATGCCTTGGTTTCCCCATGCACAAAGGAGAGTGCATCCCACTGCACAAGGGTGCCTGGAGGTTTCACACATGACCATTTCTGACCCTGCTCCCCCAGGGCCATGGCTGCTCCTTCCTCCTTTACTGGGAGCAGGGAATATTCCCAGGACCTCAATAAATGAGGGCTCGTGTCTGCAAAGGGCTTTAGTGCTCTCCACTGATAGCTGCTCTGGGCCTGATTGATGGTGCAGTGAAGCAAGTGGAGGACACCCTTGATTTCAGTGTCCTTTGCATCTAGCCAACAAGAGCCAATATTTGCCACAAACAGCTTTAAACCCAAAATGGCCATGGTGATATCCATCTCACCACCACACAAACCTAATCAGGGCTTTATCACACTGAATATACCACACTTCCCCATGTACAGCACTGTTAACAGATTTGCCTGTCACTTTGGGGTGTGCTCATTTATCAGGGGTACATTTCTGGGGTCTCTGTAATTCTATCAATGTGCTGCTTGTGTTACTTGTGTTTCTATACGGAGCTGTATCTCTCCCTTCTGCAAGTCCCCACCCCCAATGAAGATATCTTGCAGGACTCAGGTTCAATGTGGCTGGGTTCCTCCAACCACCGAATCAGTCAAACACATGTACGCACATACACACACAGATTAACAGGGCACGCCTGAGCCAGGCCGGGTTATTCAGCATTGACAGGCTAACACTCTCATGTGCCTTGAACTCAGTTCATCACTTATTTCAGCAGGGCAATAATAAATGCAGTTAGACACACATACGCACACGCTAACAGAGTACGTCTGACAGGCTGGGTCCGATCAGTACTTTCAGCTGACCCTCATGTGCCTCAAAACTCAGCACGTCGCAATCTCTTGCCACAATGGTCCTAGTAGTAACTCCCTTGGTGAGCCCACTGTAGTATTGGGCGTTACAGGGATCTTTGGCTTAGGTAAAAGAAGCATTGCTGCAGAGCAAATGGGGAGGTTAAGGGGAAGGAAAAGTAAGTGAGGTTCAGAGAGAGAGAGAGAGTATAGCAACCAGCTTGACCATAAAAGTTATTTATTGCAAGGTATATGAATTTTGATGATACCAGTAGTGATAACCATACAAGAGAGACAAATAGAACAGTTACAATATTACATAGTTTTAATTCAGTATTTGTAGCTCAAGTTTGATTAGCAAAAGTCAGGTTTAGAAAGCTGTGCCTGGAGCAAGAGAGTAAAAGTGAGGTTCCTGGAGTCAGAGACAGAGAGAGAGCTGGGCTCTCACCACTCCATGAAGCTTGAACCAGTCGTTCCCAGGTGTTTGTAGGAGCTGACAGACAGGCAGAGCCCTCAGCACAATCAATGGAGGGATCCAGGCAAGAAGGGAGTGGGACTGGTGCAGCTTTTGGATCCAAGCCCCAGGACAGAAACGTGTTTGTAGAGAACGACCAATGGCTCAAGGGAGACACTAGGTTTGTTCATGGGTGAAGGATGGCTCACATGCTGGATAATAGGAACTGGTCACTCCTGGCTACGGGTGGCATTATTCTGAGGGAGCTCACAGTACAGACAGGCAGATTCAGTGTTGTGCGTACCAATAACGGAGTCATTGCTGGAATTGGTCTGATAACTGCTGAACTGGGTGTGCGTAGAAGTGGGCTGATTAGCGTTTGGAGCAGGGATCCCCTATCATGCCATGCTCCTCTGCTTCTCTGGTCCCAGAGTTCAGTGCGGACCTTGCCTTGGCACCTGTTCTCCATCCTGAACGCTAATGAAGGTGCATTCCCGTCCCATCTCCCATTTAAATGAGTTATCATCCAGTTTCATTTTGAATGCAGATGAGACCAGGGGAGTTGCTTCATTCTTATCACCCTTGTCTGGAGGTCTTTAGATGTGTCTCCCACTGCATCTTCATTGTCTTTGGTAAGTCCTTCCTCTAATCCAGGGGCGGGCAATTATTTTGGGCGGAGGGCTGCTTACTGAGTTTCAGCAAGCCATCGAGGGCCACATGACAGGCAGGCCCGGGCAGGGTAATACTAATTTTCTAAATGTTTTAGGGGCCCCACAGCTGGATAGAATGGCCTGGTGGGCCACATCCAGTCCCTGGGCCACATTTTGCCCACTCCTGCCTAATCAGTTCTTGTTCAGGCAGAGGTGGGGAGGGGGTGAGTCCTCAGGCTGCATCCTGTGCCAGGGTTCCCGAAGCACACAGAGCTGAGAGGTAACAGCACACCCTTTCCCCACAAGAAACCAGCTGCTGGAAATTGGCCTGTGTATTACCAGGAAGGAAATACAGTAATACCAGTGTAACGATGGTTTGGAGAAGGCTGATCCTGCCTCAGGCAGGGGTTGGACTAGATGTGACCCCCGGAGGTCCCTTCCAGCCCCCCTGCTCTGTGATTCTCTATGATGCATCTGTGCAGGGGTCGGGAAGCAAAAGCAATGCTGCATGTGCTGCACGTGCTGCCCTCCCTTTTGCTCCTCACTGACTTACAGGGATTGACCAGTATTTTCAAGGAAAGATTTTTTTCCCCACTTCATTCTGACTTTTAGAAATATGGTGTGTATTTGGGGCATGTTGTACATGAGAACATAAGGTCTGTTGTATTGTAGAATATATGTAACATTGTTGGTATATAAATATGTAAGAACAATGATCTATTGTCATATGGATGCGTGAGGTTCATAGCTACATAGAGTCATAGATGTTTGGGTCGGAAGGGACCTCACTAGGTTGTCGAGTGCGACACCCTGCCCTGGGCAGGAAAAAGCGCTGGGGTCAGACACTGCTTGTCCAGTCTCCTCTTGAAGACCCGCAAGGTAGGGGAGAGCACCAGCTCCCTTGGAAGCTGATTCCAGATTTGGGCGACCCTTGTTGTGAAGAAGTTTTTTCTAATGTTTGACCTAAATTTGCCTTGATACTCATAAATCTGCTCTCCGTCTTCCTAATTACTCCAGGTTGTATCATTACATTGGGAAATCCCCATATTGACTCTATTGGTAAAGTAGGCACATGAGCAAGGACAAGACCGTGTCCCCACATGTGCTCCCACTCCTGCCATGACCTAGCCTTGCCTTGCACCCAGTCCCCAGGGGCAGCCAAGGTGAGTTCATGGTTGTCTCACATTGGGGAGTATTTTATGTGCAGCTGGATTGAAACTGGCAGCGTCACTGTGGGGACAGGGAGCAGCACCCAGCAGGAGGGACGTGAGCAGGGATGTGATTCCTGCAGGCAGCAGGGCTGGCTGTTGGCTCCAGTGCCTACTGTGGGTGCCTGGGAGCCTGCCCTGTTGGGACTCACCCAAGACGCCCGAGGCAGGAAACAACCCGCGGAGGGAATAACGCAGGGGCTGCGAGCTCTGTATGTCACGGCATCCTGGGCCAGAAGCTCCTTGGGCAGGGAGCATCGGGTCCCTGCTCGGTGTCTGTGCAGCTCCAGGCACCAGGGAGCTCTGGTCCGAGACTGGGGCTGGCAGGGGCTTCCCTGCAAATAAACCAGAGTTACTGCTCTAATGAGCGCTGCTGTTAATTACTGCTCTTTCCTCCTTTGCACTTTGTTATTTCTCCAGTTCTCAGACCTGCCCTTCGCTCTGTGTCTGAAGGGAGCTGGTGCTGATGGAGCCATCTCTTAGGCAGGGTCTCCTCACACCCAGTCTCCATCCCCACAGCTCCCTCCCCAGGCTGGGGCACATCTGGGCCTGGACCTGCTGCCTCGGGGAGGGGGCACGGAGGTGGGCAAGAGCTGGCATGAGACTGTGCCCAACCAGGACCCTGGGGGACAGCAGCTGGCCTAGTCATGAGGTCTCCGAGCATGACCCCTGAGCTGGGCAGCACTGTAACAAGGGGGTGTCCCCTTTGTGGGGTGCTGGGAACAGCCAGACAGCTGCTGTCCTGTGACATGGTCCCTTGAAGGGAGAAGGGCTCTCTGGGAACAGCAGCTGAGCCGGGGATTGGGACCAGGCGTCCATCAGGCACCTGCCTCCTAACCACAAGAAGAGCCAGCTGGTGGCTTTTCCTGGGAGCTCAGAGCCTGGAGGGGTTTGGGGGAGCGGTGGCTGAGAGGTTGGGAGCCACAGCCCAGCTCCAGAAAGGAGCTTTGCAGTCTCTGAAGCCAGGGAGAATTGGTGAGCCCAGGTGCCCGGGAAGGAGGAGCCCAGCGGGGAGGTTCATAGTCATATCCAGGGGCTGGGCTGGGCTGGGAGGGGAGCTGGGAACATGAAGCCCAGAGCAAGGGTGCACTGGAGCTGACACAGCCCACGTGAGCCCCATGTGTGCAGCCGAGATGCCCTGCTGAGCTCTCACCCCTGCTCACACCATGACCTGAGCCCTGCACCCCAGGATGGAAGCTGCTTACTGCAGCCGGTGCACAGAGCAGCAGGAGATGCTGACGCCTCGCAGGGCAGAGGAGGGGGAGACCAGGGATGCAAAATTTGCCTCCAAAGTCGAGTTAGTTCCTATTGCAACACTGTCTCAATAAGCAGTGCTGGTATTCAGTAGCCTTCATTCGTGCTCTCAGCCGGGTGATCCAAGCAGTCGACGGCAGGAGCAGCACAGGGTTGAATACAGATCCAAAGTGCATCTCTCTTCTGCGCTTGTTAGCCATTAGAAGTGTTGAGGAGGAAATTCAGACCTGGGGTCATGGAGATTGGTGCTAAGTAGGTCGGGCTGTGAACTCCACCCAACACCCCCGCACCCGGGCTCTGGTATCCCGTGGGGTCTCCAGTCCTTTGGTGTCTCCTGCATTGTGATCCTCGCGGAGGTAGCAAGGGCTGGCTCCCCGGTCCGTTCCCCTTGGGGTTTGCTTTGTACGTAAGCCAGCAGCCCCCTGCTTTCCTCTCATGAGTATTACCCATCCCATCCTCTCCAATCCTATACCTTTTGGGTGTTGTTCTGGGTGCAGGTTACTCCTTCCCCCATAAAAGGTGGAAGGTAAGCCACCCTTAAGCGCTAGTTGGAGACAGACTGCCATTGGAAACCCAGAGACGGTGACTGTAGTTTAATTAAATATTCTCCCTCCTCGTAATAAAGTTTGGCCACCCCTTTGTCCACATTTGGATTGTTAGGTAGATACAATTAGAATAGGATGAGTAGTAGTCATTAATTAAGTAAGAATAGGTCTATTAGTAATGTTTCGTTAGTATTTATATTGAAATAGTGTGTTTTGAACTGTTGTACTTACCTACTTAGCTTATTACTTGTGTGGTTTCTCTTTAATAAACTGTTTAATTTGTATCAGTTTACAACCTGTGTGAATGTGCTAATTAATCACAGCCCACTAATTGCCAGGTTACCTAGGTGGTGACTAGACATGCCTTGATTCACCTGTTAACTAACCCAGGGTCAAAAACCACCGCTCATAGCACAGAGCCCTACACCAGGCAGACGCCTTCACTTCCATCCACCTTGCTCACGCTGGAGGAGCAGGGGGGCTTTGTTCAGTGGCAGCCCCTGAGCTCAGCCCTGCGGCTACCTCCAGTAACGTGGAGCAACGCATCAGAAGTGCCTGTCTCAGAAAGACTCAGGCACGTGGGGTCTCCATCGCACCGACATCCGTGAGGGCTCAAGGGGCCTGGTTTTTCAAGGCCCTGGGGTCTCCTGAAGGAGGACATGTGGCTTTCCAGACTCACCCACGAGGGGTGTGTGACTTCCAGGCACCCTCAAGTACCAAAGCATTTTTCAAATCTGGTTGTAGATGGCTTCTGCAAGCCACAAGAGTGCTTCCAAAGGTGTTACTCCCGTTGCCTGGTTTCTCACACAGGTCAGAGCTTTGACTCGGATGATGTCAGATGCCAACAACACCCCAACCCAAAGAGGCTGCAAACACTCATATGGGGGGAGTGGGGGGTACCTGTAAGAAATCAGGGGCTTGGAGAGCTTGAACCAAGAGCAGCAGGATAAGACTCACAAGCACCTAAGAGATTTAGGACCATGGGTGCTCTTTAGAGTCAATGGGGCTTGAGCCGCTCAGGCACTTCTTGGGCTCTTCTGGGCAGGCCGGCAAGGGGGAGATGTTTTGAGGCATGTTAGCTGCTTGTGTAATGAATGTGTGTTAATGTTCAAAATAACTGTTTGCACCAGTCAGATGCAGGGAAATATGATGCAGATCTGTGCACAACAAGGTAATGGGTTTAAAAAACTCCCCCTCCCCAGCAGCCACGTCCCCGTGGGAGGTGCTTCTCCCCAGAAACAATCAGCCCTGAGCTCTAGCACTGCAGCTCTGCACTTAGACAGCAGCCCTGGGGCTGGAGGGACAGGACAGTCATGGCCATCATACTCCTCGCCAAGTCCCTGATTGTCTTATCCATAGGTAAACCCCCGACGCGGCTCTCAGCACCGTGCTTCTAGCATTGGAGACATGAGCATCCTCAGCAGGACACAGATCCCAGTGCTGGGCTCAGGACTGGATTTCAAATTCCTTTTTGTGGTCTTGGAGGTAGCTGTAGAGGCGGTTGTTAGGATGCTGCTGCAAGGCTGCCTGGAAAGCAGAAATGTTAGCAGCAAATGCCTTCTGGTCCTGAGACGTGAGGGGCACCTGTGTCAGCCCGAGACCCGCTGGAAGCTGACGATTGCCCTGTTGTGTTTCCACAGTGTTGGGAGTCCAGTTACATCTGCACCAGCCTCAGCGGTTCCTGTTTGTGGAAGTTGGTGGGACAGCAGAGATCCACTGCTCCTCCAGGGAAGATATGGAAGGGAGACAGTATGTACTGTGGTATGTGAGAAGGGCGGGTAAGGCTCCTACATGCATTAAGGACTGTGCGGATGATAAAAATGTGAGCAAATTTTCTTGCAAGCATCGGACTCGCAGCACATCATTGATAATCAGGGACAGCGAAAGGAATGAGTCTGGCATTTATTACTGTGCATATGACCTCGGCAGCTCATGGACTTTTGGGAAGGGAACCACAGTGATCGTTGGAGGTAACGACCCATTGCTTCTTTCGTTAGAAATATCAAAATGTCTCTTTCCTCTTTGCTCACGTTCCAATAGAAACCAGTGAGAGACTGTAAGAACGTAGAAGAGTAAATTGCTCAAAAGAAACTGTGATTTTAGCCAAGTAAAATGGGTTCAGTGTTAGTTGCTGGGTGCAGAGAGAATGGGTTATGCACCTTTTTCCCCCAAGGGAAACCTGGCAAGTGGTGCAGGGTGTGGCAGAAATGCCCCCGTCGGTGCCCCTCTCCAGAGACCTGTCTCAGCCGGCCTGAGAGGCTGCTGTTGAATCTCTCACAGCGGGGATCTCGCTCCTTGTCTGCAGACAAAAGCCTGGCGCCTGGGAGGCGATGCTCTGGTCACCTGGGCAGGGGGGGGAAAGACCCGGCCCTGCGCGC